TAAATCTGAGAAATTCACAAATTAAAGACACAAATTATCCAGGAATTATTAAGATTTAAAAAAATGATGATTAATGAAATATATACATATTTTTGAAGAAATTGAGCTCCGAGGATTGTTTTGTTTAGTTTTAAAATTGAAATAAAAATATTATGGATCCTCAAGCAATATCATCTCTGATATTTTAGGGTATATTTTAGAGTATATGCAAAGAAATGGTAATTTGGAATACTTATACGAGCGATTTAAAATATTGATAAAAATTTTCGTAAATAATTGAATTGATCTGTATAATTTAAAACAATGTGTAAAAATTATCGTGAAGAAATTATAGAGAAATATTTTATATTTATAGAAATATTTTATAATTATAGAGAAATATTTTTGAAGAAAAATTTCGTATTTTTCGAGCACAGTGTCAATTCTCAATAAAGGAGGAGATATATTTGAAACATTTTTATTATTATCCTACCACGTACGTAATTTAATATTTATTAAATCTTACGTGAACATTTTATTTTATATTTCTGCTTTCAGTAAATACCATTTTGCAATAAATCTTTACAAATAGCGGTAACGTTGATAAAACGATGATTTTTATTTTTATTTTTTTCAATTTTTTCGTCACAGAGTAGATCTTTATCACTAAAAAAAATAAGAAACAACTGTACTCACGGATCATAATATTTTTGAAATCTCTAAGAAGATATGAAAGATAATATATTTTAACTTCAGTCTTCTTTCATTCGTCGAAAACATCCCTTGAAATAACAAAATGTAACCCTAAAATTGCTTCGATCCGTCAAAATTAATTTTCACGTTAATATATTTTGAAATTATCTCCTGTTAAATGTATGAGACTTAAATTCATGTTCTTTCCAATACTCAAAAACTAATTCTACTTTGTATTAAACGACAAAAACAGTTTCGCAACAGTTCTTTCCCATCGTCTTTCTTTTCATCGTTTCTCAATTTCAACCATTACATGCATAAAAATTCACGAATTTGTCAATCTGTAATTATACTTTTTATCTTTGCCACACAAACACCACTCTGTTAATTATCAACGCTGCGACCGTGTTATCGCGCAAAACCGTATATACATGTATGTATGTATGTATGTATGTATGTGTGTATGATTTAATTTACATGAATATATTATTTAATCCGGTGATTTACGAAACCTCCGTCACATGTTATGCGTGAATATGATGACATAACTACTCACTACGTGTAAGTTTAGTTGTTTTGATTGATGTTAAAATTTTTCGTTTTGCTGGCTCCGACGTAACACGGGATTAAAAATAACCGATGCCGTTTCAGAATTCCGTGAATTTGATAATGAATTTTTGTTGATTTCAATCTGCGTGAGTATATATATATATATATATACATTTCGTGTAAAATGACGCAAATACGCTGGGTGACTCAAACATACAGCACCGAGTGTTTTATCACTTGTATCGTATAGAAGTTACGTTGATCAACTTCATGAATTAAGAAGCACGGAAGAACTATAGAAGTTATGAAAATTACTTTTTCCAAATTTTCCCCGGAACTTGCAATTATTTATGCTACATTCGTTTCTGAAAATATAGGATACTATAGTTGTCAGACTGACTAATATACTGTAATTTATGATAAATTAATTTTTAAACATTCTAACTATGACTAATATTTTAGCGTTTCAACGCTGGGGATATACCGAGTCTTATATTTTTATTCTTTAACAACCTTAAAATTTACAATCAAAATTAATATTGTTTTCTGTACATGATTACAATAGATCTTTTTATTTTAATTATTATCAATCATTTATTTAATTCGATAATATTAATGTGTAGAATATATTGGAGCATATTTTAAGTTTTGTAAATCTTTGAATTTGAATCAAGTAACTTTTTCATTGATTGAAATAGTTCTAACTTATTAATTTATCTTTTTTGAAATATATTTAAAATATATTATTCTCTTTTTATTGTAGTGTTTTATAAGGCGTTATAATACAGATTGATTATTCTGCAAATAATTATACTTCGTTTATTTGTCAGCAACTATAACAGTATTAATACCTAATTTGAATTCCCAGAGATGATTTCTTTAAGATTTTTAGGATTTTTAGGATACTATCAGATATTTTATACGATTCGCTCATTACTTGTATTTCATTTATTATATCTCTTATATCGTATGTTAGGTAGTTATTGTGGCATAGAACAGTCTATTTATAACAAATATTAATTTTTAGATTACAGCTTTAAGTTTAATCTAGATTAAAGCGAAAAAGTGCAATCAATTACAAGATACAATAACTGTCTTTCTTTTTTTGTAAGCAAATAAAATTCTAGTTAACGTTCGAGGATTGAAATCATGATCATGATTAGTTTAATTTAATCTCTCGAGATATGGGGAAAAATACGTAAATTGAAAATGATTTGAAAATTGATTAAACTGTTTTTATTAATTGAAACTTAAAATGCGATTATTTCATCTTTGAAATATATCCAAATTTTAGAATATTAGTTTAATTTGAGAATATTAATATTAATCTAATTTCTTGAAAATGGTCAACGAAACAGATTCTATCGTTATAGACATTTAGTATATCACAGCCTTAACTTAATAAATTTCTCAAATCATCAATCTTTTTCATACTTTCTCCACGAGCTCCCATCTTTTCTCTACATTTTAAATACTTACTTAAAGTAGTTTTTAACAAATTCGGAAAGAAATTAACTTCACCATAGCAAATGCAAAGAATTATCTGAATGATCTTAAAAGGCACGGCAAATAAGTATATAAATTCGATTCGACCGATTGTAAAGCATTTTCGCCGCTCATTTCGTGCAAGAACGTTGCCGATCGACGCGTTTATTATATTGCTCGTAATATTAATAACACAGATACGGCTCGTTCATTCTTGCGAAGAAAAATATTCCTTATCGTCAATCACGATAAGTTGAGATTACAGCCCATATGTCGTGCATGTGCTCGATGGACAGATAAGTGCGTTACACTGTCCTAGAAAACGAACGAAAGAAAGCTCGTGACGCGATCGTTCTATCGATCGTGTTTGTGGGTCACTAAGAATCCCAATAACCGGTGCAAATCGATCGTCTTAATTCCGTAATTGCGATCCTCGAATTTCGATATTTCCAATCTCACTCTCGATTTAGCAAACAAAAAGAACTTATAGTATTTTCATGCATAGTGATAAGTAAGTTTTTCAAATATTTACTTGTATATAATATATATATATATAATTGCATAAATATCTAAATATTATTGAAATATTTTTCATATTTCATTTAAACTTGAGATATTTTTTAATCTTGCAGGAATTTAAATCGAAAATAAATTGCGAGATATTTTGCAATTATACCTGTACTGTAGAAATTAGATAAAACTATTCCTGAATACACAGAAGATTATTGAAATATGTATTCAAAGATCCTTAAAACTTGAAATTAATTGTATCATTTGATATTTGCGTATATACACGCGTCCACTCGTTTAATTGTTCCAAAGTTAAAAGTCGAAAGTTGTTACTAAGAAGTTATATAGATTACATGGAGATTCATATTTTGATGAATATTAATTAAATAAATAGAACTGAAATAGGAATTTACCTCAAACAATTTATTAAATTCAAATATTAATATTCATTAAATTTAAATTCACCCTTCAAGTGGTTACACCAAGTCGTAGATGACTATAGCAATTTGCATTATAGATCTTATTTTGTACTTTATACTCTCCAATAGAGATTACTAATAAAACAAACACCAAATTAGAAATTCCAAAATTGCAAGCCATGCTCTCAAAATTCCCAATTTTTTCTTTTTTTTTTGTTTCCAATATCCAACGATATTTGGAGTTAGTAGTTGAATTTATATCAAATTCACTTAAATATCATTCTGAAAAGAAAATCTCGTCTATTAAAAATCACGAATATCTGCAATACTTTCCACCCTTTGTGCTTCGTTGGACTTTATTTTCACGCGACATTATTTGCTCCAAACGAGCATGTGCATAAAAGCCGAAACACGGAAGGAAGAGGTTTCGTTTTATCAGCTGCACTCGTGGCAGCTTCTGTTCGGTAGCACTTGTCGGTTAAGCCTGGATACTTCACCTCGAGGGTCTCTTGTCATTAACAAATTGTAAGGTAAAACCGAGGCACGAGTCGAGTAGCAACAATTAGCCAGTTATCTTCAGCAATAAATATGAACTGTGCCGCGTCCTTGACATTTAAAAGCGTCTATAGACAAGATGACACACACCACGATTATCAAGATTACTGCCTGATAGAAAAAAAGAAAAAAAACAAAATCATCATTTCGTGAGATGGTTTCTCTTCGAACGATCATACGTACGGATAACGTCCGTGCGATAATACCGTGGAATTTCCATTATCGAATGATCGATCGATTTTTTGATGACGCGAGGTTCGGCTTGAATTTTTCGTTGCTTCGGAATTATTATAGAACTTAATTTAAGTAGGTTGAAAGTTAGATATCTATCGTCTTCTATTATGTTTCTCGATGTGGAGTGAATTTTATGTTAACTTTCTCAAAGTATAATTTCGTTTGTCTGTGAAAACAAACAAAATTTTGTTTCACTGCTAATACACGTGTGTTATAATATTATAATAATACGAACTTGCAATAGTATAGTATATATTATATTATAATATCGTAATATAAACTATAATAAGTATAAGCTTGTTGTGCCAACTCTTACTAACGAAGTATTATCACCCCGATCAAACAGAAATTATTCCGAACGAGGAATGATACGATTGACATAAAAAACGGCCATCGTGTAATAATTACGAAATAATAACAACGGTGATAGTAAATATTGTAGGCACTCACACGTGCGTATATCTATTGGATTCTTTTTCATGTCAAGCTAGCATAGAAACAGTAATACAGATCACTACCATTGGCCCGAGATATCAACGTGAAATCGTCACACGTGAAAGATACGGCAATCTATTATTTCTTCTTCTTCTACATCATACTTTTCTAGTTCGCAACAGCTTTTTTCCCTTCTGACGCGACGATGTCTAGTGATAACGTGTCTTTATGTCTAAGAAAGCATGTTTTTACGAATGTTACTTTATTAAATTAATTATCAAGAGCAAAATTGGTGTTTACTAGTATCAATTTTTTTTTTTTTTTCAAATCAATTTATCATTGCGTTCCAATCCATTACGAACCAACGTTGCGGTTAATATCTAATTATTTTTAATTAATTTGTTATTACCAAGTTACGTCTCTTTATTATTGATGCTATGAAGGGGATTTCTCAAAGATTCGCCTAATAATTTTTCGTCATTAGGGTTCTCCTCACTTGTGTTATTTATAATTTTATGAAATTTCAATATTTGGAGGATTTGTAATATTATTATAAATTATTGTTTTAAATTAATTTCTCTTCAGTTCAAGTTGAATTAAACCAATTTTCCTGAAGTTAATTTCTAGTTGTATAGAATTCGTTTTCAATGTAATTAACATCCAAAACTTCAGCATCATTGAGTAGCAGCTTATGGTTAATCTAAACTGTAGAATCGAGTAGCAGCTTATAGTTAATCTAAACTATAAAATCATGTTTATATACATATTATTGTAATTTAAGTTAGGATTAATTTGTGATTTGTATGCTATACATACTAGAAATGTTTCCTGTACAATAGTATATAATAGATTTTATCATGTAGCATGGAATAATTAGAATTAAGTGACTTAATTAATCCAACCTCTTATTAATCATCTATGGCTTAAAGATACCAATCAATCGAGGATTAAAAGACTAAAAAACTTCGTAGATATGTCTTTATAAATTTCGTAGAAGTGGTAGATACATTTGTTTTATTTGTATTCATAATTCTAAATGTAATTGAATTCAATCATAATTAGAAAAGAAATTAATTTCACTCCTCTGAAAAACTTTTTAATAAAATGTCACAGCACAGTGAGGGATATTATTATTAATATTTACAGCATTAAATTCGAATCAATAATAAAATGATGAGGTAATTTATTATACTAGCAAATTTATTATACTAGCAAATTAATTATTATACTATACTAGTAATTTATTATACTAGCAAATTTAGAATTTTATTTATACTGGATAAAACCATCTGGATAGAAATTCCATTATTCATTAAATTAATGCTAAAATTATCAATAATTTATTCTTCGTTTCCTAATACAAGATTCTCTTTAATTTCTCAGATCTTACTAAGAAGTCTGTACACGGTGTCATTCTAAAAATTATTTTCAAATTTATAATCATAAGCCATTTTCCAAAACATTTATATTACAGTCTAATAACTTAGAGTTTATTTTAATCTACGGTCTAATATTTCATCTTTATTTTTGTCTTTTGATCTATACTTTATTTTGCCTGTACAGTATAACGTATACTTTATTTTGTATCTACAGTATAATATTTTAGCTCTGTTTCATTCTTTTGATCTACAGTTTATCTTAATTTGCAGCTTGATCTACTATCCAATATTTTATCTACATTTCATTCTTTTGTTTTGATCTATACTCTGATCTATGGTCTAATATTTTAACTCTACTTTATTATTTCAATCTGTACCCTGACCTGTGATCTATCTATCTATTTTTTTTATTAAATTTCGCTTTATTAAATTTTCTCTGTGGGACAGTATCGAGCCAGCCGATGAAGCCGATATCATTTGGGCCTCTCTGACGTTACCAGTAGTCAAACTAATCTATATAGGGTGTTATCAAACAGATAACGTTGCCGGAGCTCCTATCTGGTAGCCATATTTTCGATACAATATATAGATGATCGATATATCCGCGTATAGTTCTCAGTGACTGAGAACACCGTATACTCGTTTACTCGGAGCTGTCGATTGCGGAAATTCTCGTCGCCGATTTCGATCGTTCGTATCCTGCGTCTGCGAGTCGATCCTCCTTCCATAGAAACATAACACGATCGACTTTCACGTGTTATGTTAGCACAATTGTATGTTACTGTGGTTCTTCGTATCGTTTCGTGCATCGTTGAAGACATTAATTAAGAAACGTTCGTCAGAAGTACATTGCAATTAAAAGAAATAAATCAATTGAAATCCAGTTCGAACAATCGTGAAGAATAAAAAGGATTAATGGACAAGCGAGGATCGAGCTCTAGGTTTAGATTTAAATGATCTTCGAGGTGTCGTTGAGGACGTTGTTTGCACATTTGTATGAGAAATACATCCCTTTCGAATGAACTCGTCGCCAAAGATCAGCCGCTTTCGAGGTTGAAGACGAGAGTCTAGAGCTGAGAGCAGACTTCCTCCTCGCGAGCTTTCGTACTAACTCGCGACCTACAGACAGAAAGGCGAAAGAAGAAACCAAAAGCGAGAGAAACGAAGGCAGAAAGAGGAGAAAGGAGAGAAGGCTGGAAAATGGCAAACGGATACGACGATTGCTACGACGCGTCCTGGCATCTGTTCCCTCCAGATTACGTCGAGGAGGAGTACAGGTAAGAATCCTATGCGAGGATCGATTTATCAATTCGATGGAATTTGGATCGTTTGCTTTTTTATTTCGACGTTCTTGGAAACGCGAATGCTACGAAACTAAACAGTGGGAAAATTTGAAAATTCGAGAATTGCTCGAGACTCTTTAAAATAACTTTGATGATAGTTGTTTGAGGTTTGAAGAGATATTCTGAGAAATACGAAAATACATCGATATAAAATTTCTTATATTTTAAAATCTTATCAATTTCGTCGAAAAGAATTAGCTATATGGGGTCAATATTTAAGGGGAGAGTCAATTTTAATATTCAAAATTATGATGGATTCATTGAACGTAGAAATTAATTTCGTTTTTGTTTATTGATTTTACTCTATTTCACGCTACAAATTTATCAAATTACGAATAAATAATTTCGACCATTCTAATAGTTTTAGGATTAAAACACGTAATTTCTTACTCTCTTATTTTCTTCAATTATCTTCGTAAAAACACAAAATTGCATCAATTAACCCAAAGAAAACAAATGTATTTTATTATATAATATATAATACTAAATAAATAAAAATATAACAATAATATATAGCGTATAACAAAATACTAGGGTAAATATAAAATATATAAAAGTTATAATATTCAATATCGTAATATTAATAATAAATTTGCCCAAAATGCCAGAAATCTTCTACTCTTCTTCAAAGGTCACTTCTAACTGCGAAAAATATTATCGTTTTATTTCGTCTGATTAAAACGTCTGATTATCGCGAAATTTGCTCGAACGAGAAGCTCCCGATCGACGAGGTTTCGAGTTGAACGTTGACTCGCAGTTGAAAGCAGAGGGAAGCGATCGTTCGCGTTACGATTAATCCGAAATTTATGGTGGAAACCAACAGGTGTTGGTACTTGGGCCCTTTTGCTTCTCGCGTGTCCGATCGTGTAACAAGGCGTACCACTCTATACCGAAGGATTCGCCTAACCGATATGCGTGACTGCTCTTAAACGTTCGCTTCCGGTTCCCGGTGTTATCCGCCTAATCAGATATGCAAATCGACTCGCCAGCATTAAAGCCACCGGTGTATTATCACTGTACGCTGCAGGTTTTTTTTCTTTTATGCAGATTTATATCAACGAGAGAAATTGAGAATTGAAGAAATAGGAAACTAAATACTATAATTAGTCTATACTTAGTAATCGGTCGATTTTTCGAACGACATTTTCGAAGCAATTTTTGTATCCTTATCGCAGTATTCGATTTCATTTTTGAAATCAGTAAATTGGTTACTAGAATTAAGAAATTTTCAATTGAAAAATTCGCGGAGCTGTCAGAGCTGTTGTTTTCCAACAACTTCTGACAACCAAGACATCGTTTCAGATGGGACAAAAGCGATTTTTAACTTGTCTCGAATGATAAATCTCCGACTTGAATTGTTCACGATGGCCAATAACGATATTCTTGTTAAATATAAATTTCCTCGATGCCGAATATAGCAGATTTATAACAAATTTTCGAGTGTGACGATAAGATAATATATAATAGTACTGGCTCGACATTTCAATGCGTTTCAATTTGTCATTTCTTTATTTATTTATTCTATGCATTATTAAAATATCTTTAGACTTCCCGCGAGTCGGAAGATCACAGTGAGACAGTATTATTTCGATCATCGGAGCACTCGGCATCTTAAAATTCACTTTGCACGCATTTCACGCAAGAATCATCGCGAGCCATCGCGGGAAATCAGATATTTTTCTCGCAACGTCGTTTAATCTCTCCAGATTACGAGTTTTTCAGTTAAGTAGAAAATAATGATTTCTTTGTAACGTTATCTCGAAATATAGGAGTCGACATGTTGCGTGACATTGATTTGTTAAATATAAAAACTCTCAACTTTTATTGTATTGTATTCTAGTAAAATTTACATTTGTTACATATTCCCGAATATTTATGTTTGACCGGTCGTCTCTCAATTAAACATCTACGAGCGTTCAGTCAGATTTCACTTTCGATAAAAACGAACAATCCTTCGATCTTAACGTTAATTTCGATCGACACGCGACCTATATTCGTCCGATTGTTAACGTTCGATGCAGGTCGATCGATACGACCACGCGATCATGCTGACGAATGTATACCGCTCTCCTTTTTTTTTCTTTCTTTCTTTTCTTCATTCGTTCTCGTGTGATTAATGATTAGATACATACGTGTGATAACGAGAAACGATGCCACAACACCGCGGGATATTTATTCGCGTAAGTATTGTTTCACTGTGAGAAAATTCTCTTCCAGTATTGACTTTCAATAGAATTTCTTGTGCTAAAAATTCGCCAAGAAAGGCCATAATTACCAAAATTTATCTTTTTAGCTGTACAGCTAGAGTTTAGGATAATATTGACTTGCAATCTTTTTCTGCAAAAATTTGCTCAGATTACGATTATCAAAATTCAGCGGTACAGTTAGATCTTTTGTTTGAAGATTGAAAATTAATACAGAAAGTAAAAGTTAATTGAACTAATATTAAATTTCACGAATTAAATTTTATTCTGTACATCCTCACATTGTATATGCAGAATGTTACTACAAAATCTCAGGTTTCTTTTTTTAACTAAACTTAATGCTGCATAATTTTTCTGAACTGAATCCATTTATGTTCATTCTTTTCAGAGACTATGTTTGCCTCTATCGACAAATTCAAGAAATATACAAACATTATCATTAAATTATAGACATAATTTTTCATTAAGTTCAAGGAGAAACCTAAAACTTTTTACTTTCACTACTCTCAAGTATCTTATCTAATCTCGGTAAATTTATCAAAAAAAATAGTGTGATATTTGAAAAAAAAAA